ATATATATATATATATATATATATATATATATATATATAACTGATTAGAGACTATCACTAAGGTACAAGCGGAGATATTGATAATATCATTATTGCTTTACTATAAAGTTAAAATCTATGCAAAGTAAGTGTTAAATGTTTTTAACGATGTAATTGGTACATTGTAAATGTTAACAATTTAAAACTTTTACTTAATCTGAATGTAAAGAAGAAATTACCCAGAGTTGTCTGTTTTCTTGCAGCAAATATATTGCTAAAACATTTAATTGATTGATTGCTAGTTTAGTAAATAGTTGGCTTGAAATTAGTTATAAATTATTCGTGTTCTCTGCAAGTTCTGGCAAATTTGTAAAAAACGAGAATTGAGAACAATTTTTTTTTGCAATAAGTATTAGTACATTTGATTTCAAACTGGGTAATCCAAGAGTGCAAAAACTGGTTTCCATATCTAGGTGTCCCATCGTAGAAGGTGCAACAATTCCTGCACCTTTCACGCTCGAGTGGATAACCGTTGAAATCACTTTCACGTTCCAACGTTCAAACTTTAACAATGAGGTCACTGCCAGACGTAGTCAGTCGAAACAAATGTTTCAATTCAAGAACTCCGATAACCCGATCACTTGTGTGTGTGTGTGTGTATTTAACTGTGATTTATCAACTTCTTTGATCTGACATATTTCCTAAGTATTACGAAACTGTCTACATAGAGACAGTTTTTCATAAAACCAGATTTGTTTTTGAGGTGTTTACATCATAATAATTAACAATATTAATAGTATTTTCCTCGGAAAGGCAGACAATTTTTAGTGACAAGTGTAAGAATATTAACGTTTTCTATTCGAATGGTTTTCCATTCAGTTTACTTGTAAAAGTTTATGTATATAGCCTTAGCAAATAATCTTAAAAACAAATCACATGCACACACATAAAAGAACCTATATTAACATATCTATTTCAGGTTAATCGACGAGGAACTGCGGAACTCATACACATGCAATTTCTTCGCGAATACTTCAGAAAGTAGTCATCCGCTTGTGGGATGACTACTTTCTGAAGTATTCAGAGAATGTTCCCATTTTTTTCTTGTGAAAAAAATGGAACATCTTCTGAATACTTCAGAAAGTAGTCATCCTCTTGTGAAAAAATGGGAATAGTAATAAATATTCAGTAGAATGACTTCATTTTCACGAATTTATACTTATTAGGGGTTACGGGCCAGTCACGGTCTGTATTAACGTCTTTCTCGAAATCTAACGTTTTCCAAGCAACCTTCTGTTGTTTTTTGTCTTCGCCTTACTGTCTATCATAAGGGAAATGCAAGGATGACTTAATTTTATAAAACCACAAGTAGGTAATATTTCATTGTAATGTAGAATATTTGGAAACAGTACTATAAACTTCACCACCTTACGTTACTGAGTCTTAAACATTCACATCAATCGCACATCAATGGAACGAACGTCACAAGTTAAATTCATTGCACAAAACGAATGTTAGGGTTAAGAAAATAAGGCATACGTTCGATACCTGTCGCATAACTCAGTGTAAACGTCAGGCAAAGCTGTACAGAATTATCACATAACTTTAACATTACGTCACATAATTTTATGTTAACGTCAAGGTGGGTCGGATGTTTAGCTTACAAACATTTGCCGGACTTACAAATATATAACATTAACAACGTACAAATAGCAATCTATTATTGGACTGCAAACACTGCTAACAGTTTTTATCGCTCAACGCCGTGATTAGAATTAATTCTGAGAAATCAAAGCAAAAGCCATAGCTAAGCTTAACCTAAATACCAATAGATGACTCATTAAGACAAGACTTGAAACAGTTTTTCAATATACAAACTTTCTTTCTTTCTTAGAGGAAATACAATACTGAGGTAGACAATTAACAAATGTAGTAATTAGGCAGTTATTAATGAAACAAGCTTCTTTTGGTGAAAATTGTTTCCTTTAAGTTTGTTTGTTTCTGATATTCGCACAAAGCTACACAATAACTATCTGTACTACGCTAGCCACCAATCATTTTGAACTGACAGACCAAAGGGAATGCAAGTTGTCAACAGCACCTACCACCAACTCTTAGGCTACTTTAATCTAATAGTAAATTTGCCCGTCAGTCTTACAGTGCACTTACGACAGCATAAAAACCATGGATCCCAAAATTCGCAGTCTAGTATGCTAACCACTAAGCCACGTCTGGCCCTAAAGTATCCAAAATCAGCCATGTAAGATTAATACGAGGCTGGAACTTTCTATTCAATTATAAAAACCGTATATGGTTTATTGTTATGTCTTATAAATGATATCATCGAGAACCAGTGCCAGGACAATCTATTGGTAAACAAATTCTTATCAAAGATTCATAAACTGTAATGAAGAACATCTGACACGATTACAATAATATCATATATAGTTTAAAAACATATACATATAGGTACATTCCAAACGTTATTGATACAAAACAATATAATCCTAACAACAATCTTACAGTATGATAGGAAAGTTATATTTCTAATGGTTTTAAAATTAGGAAGAGCGTGGATAACGCTCGCTTTTAGCTAAATAATAAACTTCCACTTTCAATACAGTAGAATTAATTAGCCT